TGAAAAAATTAAAAGCAAATTATGAAAAAAATGAACTACTCAAAGCAGGCAAGGATAGCAAACGCCTTTGGAGACATATTAAAAATTTTACCTACACTTCAAAAAGGCACGAATCGTGTTCGAGTTTACTATTAACCCATCCTTCACCGCTTATATCAGCCAATTATGTAAATAACTATTTTATTAATATGGGAAAAGACCTTGCAGAACGCCACCAACCTCTAAATCTATTTTCTCAGTCACTTAACGCTACCACCAGTAGGAATAGTTTTGTTATGTTAGATACCGACCAACAAGAAATTTTACAAATACACACATCAAAAGTGTCTAGGGATCAACATATATTTTTGCAATAACTTTTCTCCTGATTGATATTAATTAAAATTTTCTTTAAGGATTCATCAAATAAAGTGTTTTCGTTTGTCACAGTAACGATAAACCAAGTCACCTTTGCATTAATAAAGAAATTTGCCATTTTCCTAATAAAGGGATTTTTGACATTTGAACCACTAACACAAAAGTTCGAAAAAAAGACTGAAATAACAGTTTTCTCTAAAATTTTATTGGGTAACTTAAACAATTAATAATCCGTATTTCTACCGCGAACACTAACAACACAAGAACATCGGTTTGGCATACTCAAAATGAGTTCATCCAAATCACGCTGTGGAATGGCCGCCCATGTTCGTTGCAACAACAAAAAAAGGTCTTCTTGCGACTGGATACCCTCCATATTCGGCAGAGCTCTTCTCTGTAGCATATCCCATGCATGCTCAATCGGGTTCAAGTCTGGCGACTGAGCAGGCCAGGGCAGGACATTGATGTTAGCTGCGGCGAGAGTCTGTCTTACAACTCTTGCGGTGTGCGGTCGTGCATTATCATGCATTAACTGAAATAAGGGACCGATTTGCACTTGTAGAGGAACGATGACGTCTGATACAATCGTCTCAGCATAAATTTGAGCGTTGAGGTTGCCTCTGATCCAAATCAACTCAGTTCTTCCGCCGATCCAAATACCCGCCCATACCATGATGGTTCCACCACTATAAGGATGGACTTCCTGGCAGGATTTTAATCGCTGTTGGCGTCCAGGGGTTCTCCAGTGTCGTATACGTCTTGTATCCGGTCTCATACCAAAACGAGACTCATCAGAAAAGCACACGAAACGCCATTGTTCTTCTGCCCAATTTCTGTGTTCAAGAGCCCATTGATATCGAATCCTACGATTGTGCATTGCTATAGGTGGTACCCGTAGCGGTCTTCGGGAATGAAGGTTCACTTCATGCAAGCGGTTTCTGACTGTTTGGTCGCTAATTAAGTTCCCTGAAGAGTGATGAAGCCTCACGGCTAACATCATGGCGGTTATTGTTGGAGCTCTTCGAGTTAAGATTTGAATGTATCGGTCTTGTCTCCGTGTGGTGCAGCGATACCGTCCTCCATGGCGCTCAGCCACGGTACCAGTGCTTCGGTATCGTGTCCAAAGTCGACTGATAACACTCTGACTTGTATTCAGAGCTAAAGCCACAGTACGTTGCCGGGAACCAGCTTCTATCATTCCCACGGCTCTGAGCATTTCTTCCCTGCTTAAATGACGTCGCCGCTCCATAATAACGTTGGTTTTAATCAGTAGTAGGGAAACAGTAGCACTAATAATGTCTTCAATGCGTTGTATGTTTTTATAGGGAAAATATTGACAGCTGATTTTCATATTTTACTCGAATTTGATTCACAGTTCCTGATTCAAATTATGAAATGCACCAAAAAGGATCCATATAAATTTATAAAATCATAAATTTATTACAAAGCCACATCTCAATCTCAAGAAATCCGCATAAAAATGCTTGATCCCTAGACACTTTTGATGTGTGTAATTACAAATTTGAAAGATGACAGTGCAGTCGGCTTTGATAACATTAGCAATAAAATCCTCAAAACTTTTAAGCATATTTTAATACCACCGTTAACACGCATTTTTCAAATCTGCCTCTCGCAGGGTATTTTTCCACAATGTTCAAAAAAAGCAGTAGTTACTCCTGTCTATAAATCTGGATGTAAAGATCAAGTAAATAACTATAGACCAATATCAGTGCTTCCATCCTTATCAAAACTATTAGAAAAAAATATTAACAAAAGGCTTATTGACTACCTGGAAAAAAATAACTATTTGTCACCTACGCAATTTGGTTTTCGGGCAAAGTTGTCAACAGCAGATGCGGTGCATAACCTGACTAACTATATTACTCAGGAACTAGGCAAAGGAAAGCATACTCTAGCTGTTTTTCTTGATTTAGCAAAAGCGTTCGATACCGTTTCAATTCCGAAGCTTCTAAAAAAGTTGGAAGCATTGGGTATTAGAGGAACGCAGTTAAAACTATTTGCAGATTATTTAGACAATCGATCTCAATGCGTTAAAATAGGAAATATTAAAAGTGATTACCAGAAAATGACCTGCTATGGTATTCCCCAGGGAAGTATAATCGGCCCTACCCTTTTTCTCGTTTACATCAATGATTTATGTAACCTTAATTTAAAATATGGTAAAATTATATCTTACGCCGATGATACGGCCTTGATTTTTAGCGCCAATAGTAGGTCAGAATTATATGAGGTAGCTCAACTTGGTCTTAATGGTGTAAATAACTGGCTTCGCTGCAATTTACTAACACTGAATACTGACAAAACCAATTATATTCACTTTTCTATGCGCCAGCCTTGTCATGGGTTTACAAATCCTAACTTATACGCACACCAATGCCAATATCCTTCAGTCAATAAATGCGATTGCCCTTTAATACAGAACACATCCCATATAAAATATCTTGGTATCTTAATTAACGACACATTATCTTTTAGACAGCATATTGCAAATCTAGTAGTCAGGATCCGTAAATTAATGTATATTTTTAAAAAATTACGTACCATTGCAGGTCCAAAACTAATAAAACAGGTATATCAGGCCTTATGCCAATCAGTAATTCAATATTGTATAACTTCATGGGGTGGAGCTCTCAAAACTATTTTAATCCCCCTCGAGCGAGCTCAGAGAGCCATTTTAAAAGTAGCCAATTCACTTCCCTTCTTATATCCTACGCATCAACTTTACAAATACTGTAATGTGTTAACTGTTCGCCAGCTTTTCATTATGCACACCATATTAAAACAACACACCATTTCACCTTTTTGCTCTGATATCACTAACAAAAGACGGAAAGATATAGTCTGCATCTGTACACATGATTCAAAATACATCTTTTCACATAGATTCTCTACTTTCCTAAGTCCTTTCTTATATAATAAGTTAAATAGAGTATTAGGTATTTACACATTAAACTATTTTAACTGTAGAACTGTAATATTTAATTATTTGCACAGCCTGACATACGAGCAGACCGAAGAATTACTTCTTATTTGTAAATAAATGAACGTAACTCCATTATTTACATTTACCAACATTTATATAATGATTACTTTAAGTTCTGTTTTAATTAATTTGTTAATTTATTAAATATTCTATGTATTATTTAGATCATAAAAGCCTGAAATACAGGTACAATTTTAACTGTAACCTAGTTCAGGCATCCATTATTTTGTATTTTATATTGTTATTAGTATTATTATGCAATGTATGACCTTATTTGAATAAAGATATATTTATTATTATTATATTATTATTATTACATCAACTTGAACTCTGGTAGCTCTGCTCCTGATTGGCAAATGTAACAGAAATTGCAGTGATGCATTGCATTGCAGTGATCTCATAAAAATAATCTTTTCAATGACACCATTTTCATAGATAGTATATTCTAGACAACGCCTGTTATGGGGTTCTTCAGGGAAGTATTTTAGGCCCTACTCTATTTTTAATGCACATAAATGACCTGTGTAATCTGAAATTGGAAAGTCTGAGAATAATTTCTTATGCAGACGATAGTTTAAATATTTTCTTCTGAGGTAGAAGTTCACAAATGTACACAAAAAGGCTTCAACATTGTTAACAGCTTACTGCAACAGCATCTTCTCACACTTATGCGCAAAGCCATGACTGCACCAATAATCAGAAAATTGTGAAAAATTCTTTATAAAAGCTCTTTATAGTGTTTCCAGTTTTTACCGAAATGCTTTTGTAACAATACTATTATGTGTTTAACTTTCTGTCTCTTCGGCTAATTTCTCATTTTATATCACATCTTATAATTACTTACAATTTGGCCAATATTCTTTTTCGATAGTTGTAGATTTCCCGAAAATTACGATAAACTCATTTTCGATCATAAAAGGACAAGAATCTTGGCGACGCATTTGCATATTCGAAAACAAATTTCATGAGAAAATCTGATATGGATTTCATACTTCGACGACCTCCGTGGCCGAGTGGTTTATACGCCGGGTTTCATGGTGACGCCAACTCGAGAGGTCCCGGGTTCGAATCCCGGTTCGGTTAAATGTTTGTGTGATGAATACGACAATTTGTACTCCAGTCATGGATATTTAATATGTATTTCTATATAAATATACTTACATATGTACAATATATGTATTCTATCCGTTACCCTAATATCCCATAACACAAGCCTACAGTGCTTAGTTTGGGGCTAGGCTAATTGGTGTGTGTTGGAAATATTTATTTATTAAATATTATACTGTTCCGAATATTTTTCAGTTATTACGATTTTAAAGGCATCTGCCCGGTCTAATATTACACTTTAATATTTATAATGGGTACTCAATTTAAATTCGTAATATTGGGTGGATTATCTAAAATGCACTTATAATAGTGTAAGCATTAGAACTCACAAGGCATTAACCCTCAATAATTAAAAAAATCAAAAGCGGTCATTAAGATAATCCTATAATGACTTACTTAATGCAAGTTCATGGTACGAGTCTTTAATCACCAGATTCTGGAATCAAGTCTTAATAAACCATAGAGAAAACATTATACTGAGTGCCTAGATCGGAGATTTTTTCTGGAAATAACACTAAATTGGTTAAAAAAACTTGCTGAAAAACAATTTACTCGCAAAATATTTGAAATATTTATACAGAAAAAAGAAATGGTTTACCAAATACATATACGATGTTTACTCGTTATATCGCGTAGTTTAACTTTTAAATGTTTCTTTTTGAATGTTCTGGACATACTTTAGCACACAAAGAGTCACATGTGCACTTTGAGTGCATTAGTTTCTTTTCAATGTTTTCCACTAACATTTTCACGTGACACATAGGAACCACGTTGCAATCGCATTTCGAGGATAAGGGTCTGGACAAATTATTTGGATCATATTTTTCTTTACTTTCCGTTGTATTACAGTTCATTAGATTATGAATAGGGTGATAAAGTGAGTCGGATATCATAGCACTAATATCAGTTGCTCTTTGAGACTTAGTCTTTGTACTAATACAATCACTCCAATCAGTTCCGAGGCTTACATTGTCAACAGATTTAGAGGTTGTTGTATTAGGTATATACGTTTTCGATAAATTGCCTTTAGAAACCTTTAATGTTATTTCTTCATTGTGATGTACACTTATTTTTTCATCACACAATTCCTTTTCAGGTATTTTTTTAAAGTCGTTTGTGTTTATTAGCTCTATCCCATCTATTTCCTTTGAATGTTTGGGTACAGCATTCATAATATAAGAGTTGTCCTTATGCTGGTATGATTTACTTGTTAACGTAGTCCAAATATTTTTTATATTATCGGTATTCTTCAACACGATTGCCTTTGAACAAGAACATGGACCAAAAGTTCTATTACACGAACAATCTACAGTATAACCAATATATGGTACATGTGTGTTACAAAAAAATACACTGTAATCCAAATTTTCTTTCTTATCGGATCTTTCTGTTTGTATTGGTCTGTATGCGTTTGCAGGAAAGTGACTATGATATAGAGTTTGGTAAGATTTCTTTTTACATGGATCATTGACATTTTCTTTAATTTCAAATTCAATGTGCGACTCATCCATATCTTTGTTACTACCAGAGGATTTTTGAAAATTGGAATCAGAGCAGGAAATGGTATAACGATCTTCAAGAATTTGTTTATTAGTAATACAAGATCTTGTATGCATTCCTAAATTAGACGATACTTGCGATTCAGTGGTTCGATATGGCATCATAGATTTATTTGAAGTTCCCTTATCATAACATTTATTAAGATAAAAAAGATCACCATTGGTGTCTTTTTCAGGTACTTCAACTTGAGGCATTTCCTTAGAACTTTTTCGTGATCTTTTTCTATTAGATTTACATTTGCATATGTCCTTTAAACGTTCAAAATCATTTTCTATTAAATTGCAAACCCTTTCCAAAACTTCAATATGTTTATTATCTTCAGGTGTTTGACATAAGCATTGCACTTTCTTAATTTTCAATTTTAAATATTCTTGTAATAATACGTACGCCCTATGCCAACTTCCTCCAGTCGGGCCTCCACTAACACATTTACAAGCTATATTTAGGGTACTGTCAGAAATTACTTGTTTCACGCGTTGCAGAATAGTGGCAAATAACTTGTCTTGATCTGAAGAAGATATACATTCGGATTCACATGTGGTACTTTTAAATTCATCTAGCTTGTCTCTCAGATGCTCTTCTAACAAATGAAAAGTGTTGACTTCTAAATCCTTCGATTCATCTCTTTTACAACATATGCAACTTTCTGGTTTAGAGTTTCTTAAACTATTCGTATCTAAAGCTTTATCTTCATTTTTGCAATAATCTCCACGTTGTTTACTTAATGCATTATCAACAAAACTTTTCAATTCCTCATATTTGATACTACATTCACAAGAGCCCATTTGAGTTTGTTGGGAGCTCAAAGCTTTATCAAACTTATTATGGAATTCATCACAGAAATTAGTTACTGGTTTATCTACATTGCGTAGTTTTTTATCTGCGGTATCATGCTTTAAAGCTGGCGTATGATAAATATTAAAGCAGGTACTTTCTTTACCAACAACATCTTTTCTAGATTTATTATTAGTTAATGTAACTCCCAAAAAGGTTATACAATATTCAGAATCACCTGTAAGGAGTGTTGATGGGTTTGAAATAGGATTCAAATCCTCATCAATTACATTTTCTTTGGGGTTTATAAAGTCTACATTGTTACTTTTAGATTTTGAGTTTATTTCATCCATGTGCATTTTTGGTTTCGTGGTTAAACTTAGTAGCTTGTTTTCTGGCAGAAGAATAATATTTTCTGTAAAATCTTTTGATGAAAGCTTATTAGTACATTTCTCATTTTCACAGTCACACTTTGCGAATTTTGTACATTCGTATGGAAACTCTGGTGTGTTTTCTGTATCAATAACACATTTGCAGAAATTTTCATTACTCTTTTCTAGGTTGACAGCACCTATATATTCTGAATTAGTGTTCATTGGCAAATCACTCTGCAAATCAACGGCCCTAGAAACCTTTTGTACTAACTGTTGCGGATATGTTGGATTGCATTGGTTAACTAAAGTTTTAACCGATATATTTTTAATTATCATGGTACTATTATCTTGTTTTGATTTTTCTTTGGAAACATTGTTGATAATCTCCTCATATATACATTTTTCATCAATTGAACTCATTGTTGCTTTGTGATTGTCAGTTTTGCTATTTATCTTAAACAAATCACATTTCCACCTAGCTAAGGTATTAAGAAGGTTATCTACAGAAGTGTTTGATGGCAGTTTATGAAAGCAAGCAATGTCGCTGCGGCAGTATGAATGATCTATTTTGACTTTTTCCTCGTTATTTACAGCTTCAGATTGCATGTTCTTTACTATTGGTTTTGCTTGCTTTATGTTTGATGATTGCGGAAGAATGTCATTGATCACTAAGCCTTTGAAGGGTTTTGCTGATTCATGATCTTTCATATTATCTATGCCTTTAAATTCGGGTCTGAAATTTCTTTTAGTTTCTTTTTGGGTCCCACACAGACATAAATTTACTGCATATGATTGCCCTAGCTTTTTCAAAGGCTTAACAGGCTTACCCAACTGTATACCTAGTAACATATTTTTCTTTGCTTGTTTTGGATACATCAAATCTGACTGTTTATTCTTTAAACAATTGAGTTTCGTTGCTGGTGATCGTTTGGTAACTTGATCAGTATATGAAGCTCTAGAAATATTATGATTCTTGATTAAACTTGTCTTTTGAACTTCTTTTATACAGTTATCCTCCGTTTGGGGCTCTGGAATCTAAAATAAATACATAGAACATATTGATCATAGAGCAACGCGACGCGGCCAATAGGGGGTACCCGGTAGGCATTCACAGTCATCCCATCTGTCGATTTTCCCCCGCTGTTGGGCCAGCTCAAAACTAAAACTAGTTCCACGTCGGATATTTCACTAAACTAAATCAAGTCGCGCGATTGTATTTTAGAGAAATAAAAAATTCTAAAATGTTATATAATTTGCTGTAAAACATATCTGGAATATTAAACTTGCAAAAGGATGGTGTTAAATTTCTCATATAAGTAGAATTATTATCATATTATTTATATTGAACTAGTGTAAAACACAACATTCATATTATTTTGTTAAAATTCAATCGTCCGACTTGTTTGACAAAACGATCGACTCGCCAGTTTAAATTTCAAATTTCAGATCTGTCAAAAAAAATCTCAAGTTTCATCTATGCCCTATTTAGCGCCGTAATTTTTTTAAGCGAGTGTCGTTATTATAATTTCGTTTTTGCGAAAGAATGTTGGACTGCATTTGTGCGCATATTCCTCCCCCCGCAAAAGGCGGCAGAATGATTTTAGTAGTATTACGAGGGCGGGATGATAAGTAACTAGCCTCTACTATATAAAAAGTTATAATTTTAAAAAAATATGTTATTTTTAAATTCGTATCTCTGACCACCTGTGTTCTAAATTTGTAGTTTTGGTTGCGCGAAAATTTTATTGATTTTTGTCATTTTAAAATATATTTCGTCAACTGTTTTCAAAATGGATGAAATTGAACATTGAGTCCACTGTTTTGATTGAATTTTTGATTCTGGCGTGTAATGATGAACCCATGTTTCATCTGTTGTTACAAATCGACGTAAAAAATCGGCTTTATTACTCTGAAACCGATCCAAACATTCTTTTGAGTTTTGCACCCGAATCCTTTTTTGGTCGTGCGTAAGCAATCGCGGCACCCAACGGGCCGATAACTTTTTCATATTTAATTCCTCACTTAGGATATGATGTACCCATTCTTTTGAGATACCTGTAGTGTTAGCTATTTGAGATAACTAGAATTGTCGATCTACTAAAACCATATCATGTACTTTCACGACCATTTCCGGAGTCGTGACGCTTTTTGGACGTCTGGGGCGGGCTTCATCTTGGACACATGTACGACCGCATTTAAACTCAGCCACCCAGTTTTTTACTGTGGCATAAGAAGGAGCACATTCACCCAAAACATTGACGAAATATATTTTCAAATGACAAAAAATCAATAAAATTTAGCGCTACCAAATTCAAATTTAGAACACAGGTGGCCAGAGATACGAATTTAAAAATGACATATCTATTTTTTAAATTTTAAATAGCAGAGGCTAGTTACTTACCATCCCGCCCTCGTATGTCAGTATGGCTACTCCCCTCCTAACCGCGTCGGTCGACTGTGTTGCTCTATGGTATTAATCAATTAATCGCAAATCGATAAAATCATATCAAATCACCTTCTCATAATACCAAAATGAGGCTATAAGTACTCAACTTTCAAAATGTATATTACATGTTGACACATCAATTATAAAATACTAGCAAACCAGTGAACCAAATGTTCACCAAAACCTGATTTAAAAAAAAATGTATTTAATTAATTGAGAACTTCGGAGATTTTGTGTGGTTTCGTTTGAAATTCGTGATTTCTCGAAAATCGGAAGTGCTACGTTACTCAAATCCGGTTTGTAGTCTTATCAGACTATTCTTAACTTATAACTTAAATATTCTCTTTATCTATTTCTTACGGTTTGGCCGCTGAAACAGCACCACAGACATACGGACGGACGGACGGACTTGTCTAATAGATAAGAGATATATATTGTACTAGGGGTCCCAATAGACGTTGTCTTAAAAATATTTAAAAATCCTAAAACCTGACTTCAGGGACATTTACCGAGGCAAATTGTGAGTCTAAAACATCCAGTGACTTGAATGCATCGCTACTTAAATTTCATTAAAATCGGTCCAGCCGTTTCCCTCCATTTACACGGACAGAAGAAATATACCTTTAAAAAATATCATTAATCTCTAAACAACTTACGGAACGCTGAACCATCTTAACAATCTTGTCCTCCATAATTTTCAAGTCTTCTTTTTTTATAGAGACCTGTTAAAATAGTAATGAGTTTTCATCTGTATACACACGTGAATTGAATAAACAACATGGACATTTGACATAACAATTGGAATTTTGAACAGAAATTAATAAGTATCTTTGATAGACGTTGAAGATATGCAAAGTCTGTCGGTAAGCATTGAAGACTATTATGATCACGCAGAAAATACATAGAAATATGCTATACCTATCAAGGAAGTCTTGTTTATTGCACTATTTTACTTGTGATACGTAAGTTAAAGTATTTGATAACAAAATAAATAAAAATATTGCATAACTTACGTATTTGATAAAACAATAAATCATGATGCAAGTGAAACTTTAAAAATCATTAATAAGAAAGCTCGAGTGGGAATCGAACCCAGGCCACCCGCGTACCAAGTGAGCTTTCTATCACTGAACTACCAATGCTTATTGAGAAGGTCGGAATTTTTTAATGACTAATATAAAAGTAATGCGACTTGCTATAGATGAACGAAAAAATGTGCGGTGAATTGGTAATGTCATAAAAGTTTAGATTTAAAAATATGGTGAAATGGAAGAGTTGACCTTTTTGAGATCTTCCAATTGCGACCTGAGCTGCGCGACATTGTGGTGCGTACGACGCCAGTACGCCGGTGTTGATGTTCCGCTAGCATTCGATTGGGCACCCCCGATAGTCGGTTGCTTTACAAAGCATGGGTACACAGCCGCTGTGGCAAATGAGTAGTATTATTACTTCTAACAGTAGAATGATAATTCCATAAATCTTATAGGGCGCATTAATAGATCTCGGAAAATAAAAAAAAATCATTGAATAAATACAATATTAGAAAAACTATAGAAAAGTTTACTAGATAATTTTCCTTTAGATTTATAAATATAACAGTTTAATGCTTAAAATAACGATATAATACGATATTGGAACAACAGATTTTATTTATAGCTGTTGAACAGCTTGACGGCGCGGGTGGTTAGCGCGTCCGATCTGTGATCGTGGAAGTTCAGCAACTTTCGCAATGGTCAGTCACTGGAGGGGTGATCAAAAACTTAATATCTCGAGCTCCTATGAGCTTCGGGAGGCACGTTAAACTGTTGGCCCTGTCTGCATCTGCATTCGTACACCAATCCGCACTGGTCTCGCGTGGTGGATCATGGCCCAATCTCCTTATTCCATCCATAGGGAGGGCCGGTGCTCTAGCCGCGGGGACACTAAAAGGCTGATAATGAGGTTTTATTATTTTAACCAAGTAAATTACTCGGGTTCCCGGAACCGGAACGGTTGCTGCATTCGCATGGCGGTGGACCCGCCTTCATCACCTCCTTAGCCTTGGCTGTCAGCAGATCTGCGCGCTCCTTCAATATCTGGTCGCCAAGTTTCTCAGCCAGCTTCTGGGCTCGTTTCTCAATCACACGGTCGGGATTGCTGTCGACGTCAGCTCTGCAGCGATTTGCTACTTGTCGCAATGTGTCAGCACATGATGCGCCTACCCACTGTAAGTAACATTATGTAAATGTATGGTTTTACTTCTGTATACCTACCTGGCAGAATTTTATATGTAATGACTATTGACTAGAACAAAACCCTTCACTATGACGTGAGGGTCATGCGAACTTTTTCTAATACAACCATTTTCTTTATACCTATCAGTTTAATAATTATTACATTGATATATCTGTTTTCAAATTGTGATACTTGTAAATGTATTTATTTAAAGAAATGACACTGCCTTGTAGCTGATATACGAGTACTAAACGAAAATCGGCTCGTCCGTTACTGTACAGTAGCATCTTTGGCATTCGCCTGGACAGAAACGGATCCTGGTCCTGATTTATTCAGAGCCTGAGAGAAACCTGGGACGAGTGGTTTTTTATTGTAGTTTATTATATTTTTCTAGTGTAACTCCTTCTAGAGACTATGTAAATATACAGAATGGAAAACTACTATGGAGAGGAAACAGACGAAATTGTAATGACATCGTTTCTAATGCCTAATAGAATGGGTTAATAACGTTAAAATTAATGAGTGTTCGTGACGATATGTAGACATTTTTGATGGACACATCTACTACTTCGATTTTTAGGCTTCCGGTACGGAAAAACAATTTACTCGAGGTCAAAGGTAAAAAAAATGGGTTTTTCGCAATTTTCATCAAAACGGGTAAGTTTTATCGTAAAATTACTTAAAACAAAAATGTAAAAAAAGAAGATAATAATATCTTTAAAAAAAGATAAAATGATTCAAAGTTGTAAGCGGCACAATATGTACAAGTTCCCACGCCACCTCTGAAGTAGTATACTTACCGCGTTTTTGTAACGTGGTTTCCCCAGTAGACCTATTCCACAGTTCTGATGTGTTTATGTTTAATTGGGAACTATTGCGTAATAAGAAATATAAGCAAGGTATGGTAAAAGTGAAGTAAATAAAAAAAAATGGTTGCCTGTAAAGTCGGTTTTACGGGCGAAGATTTTACGTGACAACGTCTTTTTCTCGGTAGAATATTTATTGATATGAATATAATTAAATTGCACAATAGGAACAAGGAATTGAATGAAAATAAGAATTGCACAAATTTTAACTATAGAAATATATTTTGTTTACTAAAACATTGTACATGTAAACTTAACACGAGAGACTCATCGTAACGTTACCGAGCGTTACACTTTTTCATAAGTGACTCCCAGCCGCAACCTAATTTAAGACGTTGTCACGTCAAAATCAGAAGAAAAATTTATTTGTCCGATTCATAACCTTCAATTACTTCTGCTTGTTGTTTTTCTTCTTGATCTTCTTCTACATCCTGGGTGTAAGTGAATTGCATCAGTAGCGATGTAACACATGTCTCTTCATTATTAGCAAACGAAGTTTCTAGTGTTTGTGATTTCACATTATAACACGACTGGCCTTGAAAATTCCTACATGCCAAAGAACATAACAATCCAATTATGCAACCACATTTAGCACTGCATCCCTTTGTACAGTTGCAACAAATTGTGTTTCCGGCGCATGAAGGAGTTTGAATTGCTACTAATGTATTGTCGTCCAAATTCCAACTCCCAGTTTTTTTGGGTCTTGTTGATAACTAATCCACAAAAACTTCTTTAGCAGCGTTGTACACTTTTTTTTGTAATGGGTAAAAACTGTTAAACTCGCGTCAGGACACGTGGCCTCTTCGGCGGAAATGGAGGTTACCGAAGCGTCCCAATGACCAGACACAATCAATGTAACGTTATTCAAGGTAACCTCAACCACTGCGCCGCAGCGCAGGACCTCCTCCTGGCAACGGCGAAGCAGTGGCAGACGAATGTCGCAGTGATCGCGGAGCCCTACCGCGTGCCGTCCAGATCAAACGGGGTAGGGGATCTGGACGGCACGGTGGCGGTGGTGGCCCCGAACGAAACACCACAGGTGACTCTCCTAGTGGCCAAAGAAAGAGGGAGAGGGTACGCAGTAGTCGCGTGGGGTGAGTCTTCATTGGGGTGTATTTCTCCCCCAATAGGACGCTGACGCAACTGCAGACGGTGGAGGCGCCCGTAAGACGCGCGGCATCGGATAAAACGATTGTGCTCGGGGACTTCAACGCCAAACATATGGCGTGGGGGTCCTCGAGCGCAAATCGTAAGGGGGAGATGGTGCTCGACTGAGCGGCGCGATTGGGCCTGGTGATTGCCAATAGGGGGTCCGAATACACGTGCGTGAGGCCAAGGGGAGGATGCATAGTGGACCTCACCTTCACGACGCCCGCACTGGCCCCGCGCGTGCAGGACTGGAGGGTGCAGGGGGATGTAGAGACGTTTTCGGACCATCTGTATATACGGTTCCGAGTCTCCCCCCCTGCGCAAGGAGGGACACCCACAGTACGGGATAAGAGGACTCACTTTCCACGGTGGGCAATCACCCGGCTCAATCCGGAAAGGGCGGAGGAGACGGCAATAGTCCAGGGGTGGAGCATGGACTCCAGTGACTCCCGTGGCATCAACGAGAGTGTGGCGAGGTTTGGGCGCGCCCTTAGGACGGTCTGCAGTGCCGGGATGCCTCCTGTTAGAACTCCCCCGACCAGGACTCAAGTATACTGGTGGTCGGCGGAGATTGCGAGGCTACGCGAGATTTGCCAGCAAGCCAGGACGCTCCTCCAGCGCTGTAGACGACGCGTCAGGCGCACGCCAGGAGAGGAGGAGAGGCTGAGGGCAGGTTTCCTCCTCTGGCAACACTGGCTAAACAGCTGATTTTGAACTGTCCCTTTAATTTTATTCATTAAAAATTATAAATCTAAAGAAATTGTGCTCTAAAACCAATAATATCATTAAATAATAGTTAAATACTAAGTGCTAATATATAAAACGATTGTAAAGTGAGTGAAATTACGTAAAAATAACCTGTGACAGTTACCGGCTTTATTGTGAATCATTGTCATCTGTTTTCAAGATATTTTCTTAATTTCAGTAAGTTATTTTTACAAGTTAGATTCTAATATACCTTGACTATTACTTTATTCTATATTAGTAAAGTGTGTAAAGCATAAAATAGTCAAAAACTTTGGTAATATTTTTTTTATAAAATACCTACATATCTTTGCTATTGTTGGTTAAATAAGTCTTGTTGTATTTAAATACATACATTAATTAAATTTCAACTAAGATAATATTAATCTTATATAAAAATGATGACTCGTAAGGCTTTGTCTCGTCAAGAGGAGTCTAAATTTCAACTGACTTTGAGAGAACTCAAAGCTTCTAAGGATTTATGTAACCAACTAAACAAGGAACGCGATGACAATGAGAGGGAATTAATAGATATTTTAGATAAAAATCAAAAGTTAAAGAGCGAAATGGCAGAACTTCACAAACAGTGCATTGATGCTATTGATGCTCGGGACAGACTCCAATTCATCGTAGATGGCTTTGATCAATGTAGAAGTGAGTATGATCAAGCATTGCAGCGTATTCACATGCTGGAAAAACAACTACATGAAGCAAATAATACAATATCACTTTTAGAAACGTCAAAACACAATGTAACTGCCTCGTTGAATCAGAGCTTATTTGATGAGTTGGTAGTCAGTGCTCCAGAGATGGTTACTGCTGCAACCAATAACCAACCAATTGTAACAATAGATCTTACATGTAATGACAGTAGAAATAACAAATTGGGGGTTGTTGGATGTAATAGAAACAAATTAAAGAAATATGTAAAAATTAATAAATATATTAAAAAAACTCAAAAGTTAATTAAAAAACAAAAATTCTTTATAAAAAATGTTAAATTAAACAGGGAGAGATTACAGTTAATTGATAAATTGGATTTATTCTGCAAAATATAATAACATTTGTTTAAAATATGAAACAGATACTCAAATTTTACAAAGTAAAATAGATAAACTGCAAGATTGTCTCTCAAGTGTAACCAAAAAATATGAATTAGCACAATGTGAAATGAAGGAACACATGCAGGCCATGAACGAGTTAATTGATTTATGTAATTACAATAATGAAAGATTTAATTCGTTAACTAACAATCACACTTGTGACTGTAAACAGTTGGGAACTCAATCATCGCTCAATTGTGACTCCTCCACTTTACAACAAAAGTCTAGATCTGTTGATTCCCAACATCAGCCAATTGGTACATACTTGACGCCAGTGAAAGTAACTCACTCAAGAAATGCATCTTTAGGTAATAAAAATAACAATATTATAATGTTTAGTGATGAAATTGGGAAGAATATGGGCCCTCTTTTATCTAAAATGGGACTTTCAATAACAAATTACTGTATGCCTGGTACCTCTTATAATGATATTTTAGAAAAGGCAAGTAAGCATAGCTACAGTAAATGCCACACCTTGTTGTTTTTTATAGGAAATAGAGGCAATTTGAATAAAAAGTTATTAATAAAATATGTGACAGATTTAAATGCATTAAATGTGAAAAAAATTGTATTGTTCACATAGCCTTACTGCAACAGTCTGCCAAAGGAGGAAAATTTGTTAAGATACAAATTAAATATGCTTTTGTATACAATTTGTAAAAGCAATAAATATCATTTGATTGACTCTAACAATTATGTTAGAAATTTTTATTTGACGAAAGATAAATATTATCTTTCCAATTATAATAAAAGACAAGTAGCTAAGTCGCTATCATATTTCTTTTTTATGTCAGCCAAGAATTTGGCTAAACAGCTTGCTCCTATTGAGCAATATTCTATTGACATGACAATCAGTAATTATTCTACTGAAACCACCCAAAATCATAATAAATATTTAAATTAACCAATCAGACAAAAGATAATTCTTCTTGCACATTAAATAATAATGTAAATAAAAATAATTGTTTTGTTAATATAGATAAAAATAACCCATCCAAAAACATTGCAAAAAATGTAAGTTTTATCAATCTGGTGCATCTTAATATTCAAGGAATGATGGGTAAAGACTTAGAAATTGAATTATTCATGAATTGTAATAATATAGATATTTTTTGTATTACAGAACAC